CTCGAAGAAGACCATCTTCCCCCTCTCGAATCCGCTCCCAGTCGGAGCACCCGCGGCGCTGCCCTGAGCGGCGTAAGGGCTGGAGGAGTAGACTATCTTTTCCCCCTCGTGAAGGCGGGACGGGCTCTTCCCGGCGAACTTGCGCCAGAAGTAGCAGAAGAGGAAGCCGGAGACGAGGACGAGCACGACAAAGTCGCCCACGACGATGGCCACCATGGCCATTCGGTTCATCCCCGCACGGCTGGCGTCGACAGCGGGGCGTCTCGGAGGGGCGACCTCAGGCCGGGCGGACGGAGAAGATGCCACGACATCGGCGGCGGCGGCAGCAGCAGGAGGAACCGGGGCCACAGTGGTCGCCGAGGGACGGCTGGGTTTGCCTACGAGGACGCGGCAGGTGGGGAGGGGCCCGCCGCAAAGGGCCGGGTTCTCCGCGAATGCGGTAGCGGGGAAGGCGGCGAGCGAGGGAGGAACGCCGCCGGAGAGCAGATTTGACGACAGGTTGAGGTCCTGGAGGCGTGGGAGGACGAGACCGGAGATGGGACCAGATAGCCGGTTCGAGTCGAGCCGGAGGGTGAGCAGGCGGGACAGCCGGTTAAGCGAGGCCGGGACCGGACCAGTGAGGTTGTTGGAGCCGAGATCGAGCCGGTAGAGGCGGACCAGCGAGCCGACCGACGGCGGGATGGGACCGGAGAGCTGGTTGTGGGAGAGAAACAGAAGCTTGAGCGCAGAGAGCGAGGAGACGTTCGGGATGGTGCCGGAGAGGCGGTTCGACTTAAGGCTGAGTACCCGGAGCTGGTCGAGCCGCGTCACTGCCGGGAGGCAGGCCGGGCCGGAGAGGGAGAGGCCCTCAAGGACGAGCCGGTTGACGCGGCTGCCGGCGCAGGTGACCCCATGCCAGGACGCGCACGGCGACGGGTCGGACCGGTTCCAGCTCGCCAGCCTCCCGGCCGAGTCGCACGCGGCCTTGATCTCCAATAAGGCACCCAAGTCTCCGTCCAAAGTGTCCAAAGAAGAAGAGGAAGAAGACAGTAGCACAAGAAAATGCAGCAGTAGCAGCAGCGGCATAGATCGAGCCAAATGCGGCGAGGAAAACAGCTTCTTCTCCCCCATTTCCTTCCTTCTTCTCCGAGGAGGTTTGGGAAGGAGGAAGACTGAAAGCTGAAAGTGGAGACAAGGCTGTAGTAGTCCGAGTACAAGCAATGCTGCTTTTGTGTTGAGGGTCTCTTTTAGCCTTTGCCTTTCCTTTTCTCTATTCTCTATGATTCAGGGAGTGGAGTGAGGTGAGAGAGGGGGACCTACGAACACTTGGGGAATGGGGCACGAACAAAGCACGGAGCTCAGAGGCGAAGCCATTATTGCCCCGATCACCTTAATTCACTTCCCCCTCGATCTCACCTTACGGTCAAACGATCGCGGACGACGAAGTCAAACTGGAAAAGCAGAAAAAGAAGCTAAAGGAAAAGCCGGGAGACGGATATGTTTGGATGAGAAGATCTATCGTCGCACCACACTCAAAGATCATTGCAGCAGCGCGCAAGAAAAGGGACTGTTATCTTTCTTAGATCTGTAAGCCTGCTGCGGTACGGAGATCGAATATAAGCCAGATGCCTCTCAGATCAAGCCTTGGCTGGGATCCTCTTGGGAACATGTTATGCTGTCGTAGTGCAGCGAGTGAGCTGTGCCGGAGGACAATAATCCACTCGTTTTGAAGAATAAACGATCACGACTATGGAATCGATCCAATTGTGGTACGAACTCGTAGAAAAGCGTGCTAGTTAGGTGTAGATTGCAATACTGTATTAAGATTCGCGCAATCTAACACGAGGAAAGCATTCAGTGGTCGTGAGGGAGGGTGGGAATGTCAATTTTAAATTGAACTCGCTCTGTGCAGACTAGATCGAATCGGAATCAATCGATTTTAACCAGAGAATTGTGGCAAGTTCGAGTATAATTTTCATATGAAACAAATCGGGATCCGAATTAAGACGACATTAATTATCATCGTCCAATCTTAGAAAGAAAATTATTTTTTTTAATGGTAAATGATGAAAATAGAATTCAAATATTATAATAAAATATTAATATCTTTAATAAATAAATATAATTTAATATTATGATAAACAATAACTATTATTAACTTGGGATCCACCACATGATCTTATGATCCTTTATATTACGTAAAAAAACATGTGTTTGGTTAAGTTCAGAATATTTAAATTTAAATCTATAATTTATATTATGATATTTTTAAATATTTTTATTATCCGTTCTCGTATCACTAACACTAATTATTTCATCTCTTTTGGTTATCAGATTTTCTAAGTATATGCTAATTTAAAATTTTGAGCATCATATCCGAAAATCTTCTAGCATATGTACATACTATCAATCTAAAGTGATTTTTTTTTCATCGTAAGCGATATCTAGTTATTCATAAATTAAAATATTTATTTATTTTATCTTTCTTGGTAACTTCATAAATCATATATATATATATATATATATATATATATATATATATATATATATATATATATATATATATATATCATATATCATATATCATATTACACAAAACTCTTGACGTTGCTCGTCATTTTAAATATTATGTTTTTACTATATGAATAATATCTTCATCAACATCTTCATCTCTTTGAATAATTGATCCAATATATCTAAAGCTTCGATTTAAATGGATTTATTATCAGTCCAACTTAACTATATTCTCCTATTTATCTCTAAAAGTATTAAAATAATATCTTATATATTTAGTTTTAATATGAAATATTTAGTTTGCAATGCTTGTCTCTATAGCTAAAATTTATAAATAGTTTAGTTTAGGTTCTAATTAGATAAGATAATATCATCAACAAACAACATATACCATCGAAGTTTATTATATAAGTGACTTATAAGGTAATTCATTATTGAGACTTAACATAAATCCTTAATACAAACACGTTAATAGAAAATTCACTAAACATATTTTTTATTATTCTAACAGTAGTAACTACATTATCAAATATATCTTTAATAATATATTTATTTTCTAAAATTCACCATAATAAATATCTGCAAACCCTATCATATACTTTCTCTATGCTAATAAAAAACATATACAATTTTTTTTATTTTCTCCCTATTATTTTTTATTAATTATATTAATAAATAAATAATTTGTATGATTGATCACAATACTTGCATACAAGTATAAGTTATTATTATATTACAAATATAACTATTATGCATGTTACTATTGTCAGGTATACTTATGTATATTATTTCATTTATTAGAATGGATGTGATACTATATCGAGTCCCTCGGCTTAATCTTAATACACGAGCAAAATGTGCATAAATATCGATTAAACACCGATCAAAAGAGAGGATCTAACATCAGCTTTGCACTCACAATCTATAGTCTTCAATGCTAAAAACCAAAGCTTTCAAGATTAAGTCCAACGAAGTGGCATGAAATGCAATCCAATCGTAGAGCCCAGTTAAGCCAAACTTGGACTTCAGCCATCAAAACAAGTTGACTTAGGAAGAGCTTTAGGGAAATATTACAATCAGTAGTTTAACTAAACAAGAAATTCTTAGATGTATCGACTTTACACACGTATTCCAAAGAAAGTGTAAAAATGAAACTTTTTACCATTAACATTTCAAAAGAATGTAGTAATAGAATTTTTAAGATTAAAAAAAAAATTCATTTGAAAAGAATGAATAATTATTATTTGTTGATGTCTATGGCCTGGCCGTCAACGAGAGAAATAATTAGTCCAACTTAATTAGAATCTGATTCATACGAAAAGAAGTTAACGAAGTTATAGAGTATGCCAAAAGCTTCCTCCTATAAAAACATACAGGCGTGTTGAGTGGGTTTCGAACATGATCCATTTGATGTCAAAATTAATACTATATTTAAAAGAGTGGGTTTAATATAAATTTCTGTATATAACTATTTTTTTATAGTCGTTAAATACTTCAACGTTTAAAAAGATTTTATCTGAAATAAAAAATATTTTATTTCTGGTTTAGTTGAGGTTGTCTTTTTGATGATTTAGAGCAAAGAGCAAATATTCTTTATATAGAAATTTCACATGAAAAATTGATACTTAAAATCTAAAAATGGAGAAGAAATGTTTGAGACAAGAACAAAGAATATTTTAATTTGAAATATAAGGTAAAAAATAAAATATTATTTAGTTACATACATATGGTTCGTGCATGACCCCAATGATTCTTGGTTCACAAGAAAAGAAGTAGAGCTTGAGCCCTCCACAAGTCACCTCCCAAAAAATGCACGGAGGTCAACTCATACGACGAAGATGATAAGATTCAATAACCTTAATTCTTACAGCAGCTAATAATAAACACCATAAAACCTACGGCATGGCAACAACGACAACAGCTGACTAGTTATTTTAGTCGCCGTGCCTGTGGCGGCCACTTGTCTCGACGAACTCGCGTCGCTACGTCTTCCATGACGTCACACGTGACGGCCCTCTTCGCCCCCTGAATTCTTTGACTACCCCCAGTTCCCACCCCGTGCGGGCCCCGCGAGGCTCCCGCATTGCTTTCCGTTCACTATGCGGGTAGGAAAGCGGGTAGACAAAGAGTGCTGCCCGTCCTCCCGGCGTCTGCAAACCACGTGCCTAGAGGAGGGAACTCGCGCGTCAACTGTCAACGAAATCCGCCCAACACCCATCAACTCCATTGATCCGACGGCCAGGTTTCGTTGTCTCTTCCATCGGACGACCAATGCCCTTTTAAAATTGCCCGCTTCTCGACTGGTTAACCGGAAAGCGTACACCTGCATATGGTACGCACAAAACACCGGAAAGGTCGTGGTCCCACGGAAGCTCACGTGACGAGATCACTGCCACTTCAGGGCGTAAGATATGTGCGTAAAGATTACTAGTAGTGTTATATTTTTCTTCGAAACCTCGTGCTCTCCCCACCGTCGGATTAACAATAACACTAACGCAGAAGGGGCAAGAGAGAAGGGATGGTTTTTTAGCTCGCGTTCAATGGAGGGATATGTCGATGAGGACGCCATTTACGACGAGAGAGGAGGGACAGCGATTCGAATCTATGGATCCCTCTTCTTCGTCCTCTTTGCTTGAGCGGCTGAGGAGCTCAGACGGGTCCTCGCCGCTGATCTTCTTCCTCTTCTTCCACAAGGCGATACGGTCCGAGCTCGACCGCCTTCACCGCGCCGCTGTAGCGCTCGCCACGGATGGCGTGGGAGACGTCGAGTCCGTCTCCAGGCGCTGCAGATTCCTCTTTTCCATGTACCAGCACCACTCCAATGCTGAGGACGAGGTGCCTAACCGTTCCTATTTTATGAATCTGGTCAATATGTGTGCTGTTTTATGTGATGCAGCGATATCCGTATTCGACGAGTTGCAGCTCATAGTGAGGTTCGTGGCTCTTGTATTTTGGGATTCGATCGAGTAAAACAAGGAAATTTGCTGTCGTTTAGTTGGGTTTGGTCAGATCAAGATATTTGATCTGATACTGGATCGAAATTGTCCACTAAGGAAAGGATTAGGACAAGAGAAATGCTTGTGAATTCTTAACTGTCGAGATGATTTCCTGTCTTGATAAGCGATGATGCGCCCACATTCATTGCAACTAATTTGTTTATTCGTTAAAGATTGTCTTTTCTGTTGTTTCTGCACAAACATTTTGTTATTGTCCAGTTCTTAAGGATTAAACTGCTCTAACCTTTCTCTCACATTATAAAGTGTCATTTCATGTAATAAAGACAACTGGGCATTGCTCTTGGCAGGTGTCCTATGGGCTTTTGAACAGGACACCGTCTGGGAAGCTTGATTTTCTTATATTTTTTATTAAATGCGGACTGTTATTGTAATTGGGAATAACTAATATAACTTGGTTGTGTTTTCTGATCTTCTGAGAAAGATATGTCTACAATCAAACATCTCATATCATGACAAATTAAAATAAATGACATTTGTTTTCAATATGATCGCTCAGAAATGAACATGCAGAAACAAATGATCTTGAAACATGTACAAGAAAGCTTTGCAGGACTTTTTCCTATGTTTATATATACCTGCATGCATTAGCAGAGAGATATGCAATTCTTTTATGTCATTAATTTTTTCCTTATATTTTCTTGTAGGACAATAATTTATTGGCCCTTGATCAGAGTCCTTTAAAAAGAAACTAATTTTGATAGGTATGCTTGTCTTTGTTTTTGTATTTGGACCGTTAAACTACCATGCCTTCTTGTGCAGCTATATGCCAATAAGACTTGAAAAGCGAATTAGTTAGTGCAGTGTTGGATGGGAGCATAGTTGTCAAATACGCTACGGGACTCTTTCCTGTAGCTGAGGTGATAACCCAATTACAAATTTTGCAAAATTTGTCAAAAATACTTTGACAAATTTATCACAAGGTCCTGACTCAAATCCCGCATTCATCATTTATCCTTTTTCTAAAAAAAATGATAAAATTTATTTCAGTATTTTTTGAGTTAATATGCAAGTAATGTTATTGATAATTAACATTTCAATAAAAGACAACTTTTATAGCACTAACACTAAAATATTCAAGAAACTTGAAATTATATTTCACGTTGCCTAGCAATTAGACTCAAAGTGAATATACAAGTATGTATATATCATCTATTATCTTAATTAAAACAATGTTACATGAATATATTTTCATACAGACACATATATTTGATTTTGTATGTTGTACATATGATGGTCCAGATGAGCATAGCCTAAGCATCTTGAGACTTGTTTAATGCCCAAGTGCTCATGCAATCACCAATGAGAACCAAATGGTTGTTGTCCCATGTCTTGGAATTTCTTGACAGAACATCCTTATCTGTAGGAAAAAACATGTACAGTTTAAATTATGGTTCTTCATAGGATCCTGTCATGTCCTTTAGTTATAAAGTTTTTCATTCTGTTGATTTTGACAACTTAAGTGGCAGAATTCAGAAGTATTCTACTTTCACAGTTATGTGGGGTATGAATAGACAGGCCAATTCTCATGCTTTGACGCTATGCCAACTTACTATCTGATGTGCTGCTGATGATATTTCTTAGCGTGTCAACACCAGTGCTTCATGTTTTTTAATTGCTTGGTAAATACGTGTCATACTGCAAGTTCTTGATGTTCCTATTAAGGATCTCATGTATCAGGCAGCATGGCACTTTACTACATGGTACAATAGGGAGCATAGCAACACAGCACTATGCTGGCATGGTGCTCATACTGGTTAGTACCTCTGCCATGTCAGCTCATGCTGACCAATGTGTACTATTCTTGCACATTCCTTAGGTCTAATGGTGCATGCCTACTTGGTTTCAGACTGTATTGTAACAAACAATGGTTGACAGCCCTTTTTTAGTATATGTGTCATCTTCTATATATCTGTGTCCCTCTTTAACTGACTGTACCCTCTGAAATAACAGGTTGTTTTTCCAGCCCTTGACAAACGTGTGAAGAATGTTGCAAGAACATATTTTCTTGAGCACAAAGGGGAACATGACCTTTTTAAACATTTATTTGATTTACTGGACTTAAATGTTCATAATGACGGCATTGCTAGAAGAGAACTTGCTTCATGTACTGGTGCTATACAAACGTCAATTATGCAGCACATATATAAGGAGGAGGAGCAGGTAGATATTTCTTTAGATATCTAATTGTATAATTGACGTGCATCTTATTTTTGTTTCTATCATATAACAAGAGATCACTGATTTTAAGGACTGGGCTTTGGTTATTGATGCACTATGAAAGATGTGCTCTGTAAGGTTCTGACTGCACCTAGCTGTTACTATACGTGCATTATATAGCTCCTTATTTTGCCACACTCTAGTAGTCTGTCAAAAATCCATGTTCTTAGACATAATTAAGTTGTATTATCGTTTAGTATGTCCTTTTTGTGTCCAAAGATTAGTTGCCAACTTCTCTATCAAAATATTTTTCTTGTTTATGATGGACTTGCTTTTTTTTCGAATTTAATTGGTTTTTTTATGACTGGTTCGTTTCTTGTGTTAGTATCTTGTTCTCGATAACTTGTTAGGAAATGATATCACCATGAACTTGCTTCCTTATTTGTCTGACTATTCTTGTCATAGATTAGTCATTTGCAAACTGGATTTTCTTAGTTTTCTACATCATTATTAGTTGTAATCTTATCATCTATGTTCTGTCCATATGTATGACTTTCTACTTGATTCAAGTTTTTCTCCATTATCCAACAAATGCTGATTTGGTTGTCAGTTTCTTGGTTGGTTCAAGCTCTACATCGTGTAAAAAAATTAACATAACTGTTTTGCTTGTCAATTTCTTGGTTTTGTTGTAGGTTTTCCCACTCTTTATTGAGAAATTTTCACTTAAGGAGCAAGCTGATTTGGTTTGGCAGTTCCTGTGTAGCATCCCTGTGTACATAATGGTAGACTTCCTTCCATGGCTTTCTTCTTGTGTCTCACAGGATGAACATAAGGATATGATGACATGTTTATGTAAAGTAGTACCAAAAGAAAGGCTTCTTCAGCAGGTAAGAATGTGAAACCAGTAGCATGATCTTTGAACTAGTTTACAATCCATTCTTAATTCTAGGCTCCAAAACCATTAGGTTATATTTGAATGGATGAAAGGGAAAAGTTTCACAAACCAGAGTATGAGCCATAATGATGTATCATGGTGCTGCATTGATCATGCCAATACCAGGAAGAGGAAACATGCAGAATCAGATAGCAATTTTGTTGATTCACCAAGGGCACACCCAATAAATGAAATTTTGGACTGGCATAATGCTATCAGAAAGGAGGTTAATGACATTGCAAAAGAAGCAAGACAAATACAACTTTCTCGAGATTTCTCTGATCTATCTACCTTCTATTCAAGGCTTGAATTTGTTGCTGATGTATGCATCTATCACAGGTAAATTATCTTCATGCTGATTCTTTTAATACCTTATTTCTTCTTTTAAAAAAATAGATTAGATTCTATGTCTAGTTTGAAAGCCTTCTGTCATTGGCATCTTAATCTGAATGTCTGGATAAGTTTCTTTGAATGACGTCTCAATCTGAATGTTTGAATTCGGAACACCATATTTTATTGCTCTATCTGTCACTTACTTTTATCTGTTCATTTTTTTTTTATCTTTCTCTAGATTGTTTGTTTTCACTTAGCTGCTTGTCTGGCAATTCATGATCACCATTTGGAAATTGTCTATGTCTAATGTTTTCGGCTTGTAGTTTCGCTCTTCTCTGATAATTTGTACAATTTCTTGTGCAGTATAGCTGAAGATCAAATTTTATTTCCAGCAGTGGATATGCCAGTCTCATTTGTGGAAGATCATGCTGAAGAAAAGAATCAGTTTAACAACCTCAGGTGCCTAATCAAGCGTATCAAATGTGCTGGTGTCAACTCAGTTTCTCCTGAATTTTACTCAAAGATATGTTCACATGCAGATCGTATTATGGCGACTATTCAAAGGCACTTCAATGTTGAGGAAGCTCAGGTATATCTCATATTGTCGGTAGACTACTTTTCTAAGGTCTCCTGAACATGCTCTATTTCATATATTTTTTACTTTCGTAGGTGCTTCCTATAGCAAGGATATCTTTCTCTCCTGAAAAGCAACGGAAGATTATTTATCGGAGCATATGTGTAATGCCACTAAGACTTATAGAGCGTGCTTTACCATGGTTTGTAGCAACACTTTGTGAGGATGAAGCTAGGTCATTCCTCCAGAATATGAAACTGGCAGGTGAAGTTTTTCATTCTTCCTTTAGTATTTTGATGCATGTAAGACGCAAGTGATACTACTGGAAACCAATGCAATATTATGATTCCACTTTCTGTTTGTGGAATAAATATCACATTGTTGGTGTATGACCTGTCGGACTGTATGAGTGAGGACTGTTGTCATGCTTTCACAAAATAAGAGACCAGAACTGTCACATCCTGG